AACAGCATGAATGTAAAATATGGGCAATTGTGACCTAAGTGTCACAAAGGCCACACATGGGTGGATCAGTCTCACATAAAAGAAAATGATAGATTAAAAAACTGTGACCAATGCATAGCCTAGCCAAGATGAATTCCTCCCTTCGATCCTTATGGAAACTAGATGGCCAAACAACAACAGTAGGTTTGCTCTAGAAAAGCTTGTATGAAGTTGCTCACCCCAAATCAACTGCTAACTTGTGTGAAGCTGGGCCTTGATCACAGTGCCATAGTCCATATATGGGACAGACACAGCTGTGACAGCACCAGAGCAGACAGACCTAGCTGCAGTGTCAGCAAGCTTGTTCCCTATAATATCAACATTGCCAGATATCCAGAATAACTGGATAGAAACAGATGACAGAGGAAACTGAGCCAGTTATTTCTGAAAATCTAAAAGAACAGGGTGAGAACTGACATTAAGCAATTCCCAGGTTAGAAAAGTGGTAAGAGAGTAGTACAGTTAGTGTACTGGTTATCATCTATGTGATCCAGGGCAAGAGAAATGGCATACAACTCAGTAGTGAGCACAGAAACTGTAGAGGAACTTGTGAGCAACCATTAGTGTAAATGGGCAATTGTAATCATAGAGATGATCTGCCTGAAAGAAAAGTGGTATCTCTCAACCTATGACTTGGTGGCCAAGAGGGCAAGAGAAGAGAAGAGAAGTGCTGGAAAGGTGGAAAAAGAACTCCCCAGGAGTACTGTCAATGCTCTGTACATCAGCAACTTCCTAGCCACTGGAGAGCAAGATGGAAAAGGTATGAGAAGTATACTTCCCACTGACCTTCCAAATCTTGTTCCAGATGATTTTGGAACTGATGGTAGAAGAGATGCCATTGGTGAACTTAACCTAAGATTCCTTCCGGCTTTGATGTTTGATCTTCCGAGCATGGGCATTGGCCCACTGAAAAGCAACACAGTTACAAAGAGTAGGATACCTGCAAAAGATATCCCAGGCCTCTTTCTGAGCCTTCCATGCCTGCTGGCAGGCAGAAAACCACCATGTACAAGGATACCATGGGAAATGTATCAAGGTTTGGGGGATAGAATAAACAGCTGTTTAAATAATATGATAAGTTACTGACTCCACACACTCATTAAAAGATGGAAGACTAATTAGAGCAGGATCAAGTTCCAAGAGAGTGGTGAAGGAAAGCCTGTCAGTCTGCTTCAACTTCTACTGTGGCACACAGGTCAGGTAGTATCAATCACAGCCAAGTTCACTCAAAATGATCACTGCCCCATGGGTCACTATCAACCTTTCAAGAAAAAAAGTGAAGGTGAACAAACAGATAGATCAATAGCAGTAAAACACAAACTAGGTGCATTAAAATAGGTAAAAAAACTAGTACTAAAGAAAGAACAAACAATTATTGTATGACCCACAGAGATATGGATGGCTACATCCTCCAGGGAGTATCAAGTGGTACAGACAAGATGGGTACATGTTGGTCAACCAGCAGTGCCACACCTCCATGAACTCAACCTTCATATAACCTGTCATTCCTGTACAAAGAAAACTTTTGAAAGGTGACAGTATCAGCAAACAGAAGGAATGTTTCTTGCAAGAAGAGACATATGGGATAAGTATCAATCAAGGCCTTAATGTCATCCAAATCAGAACAAAAACCTCAACAATTCTACTGTATTAAAGTGGCCATTTTTATTCAGGAGGAGGAGGAGAACCATTTTGTTTGCAACCATGATGTTTTTCTTTAGTAGAAAGAGGTCTATCAACCTCTATGGAACCTGCATTAGGACAACTGGGCAGATCTTTGTCAGAAGGAAGAGACTCCAGTGACTGAGGGCATGACTGAATAATGATCCTGCACCTCAGGGCTAAAGGAGAGGAACCCGAGCAGTCACAGGATATGATGGTGGGGGACAAAGACAAGAGTAGATGTGGACTTCTCAACTCTTGCATCCACAGAAAACACAAGACCCTTGACAAGGAGAGAAAAAAACAAATGGAAAAGCAGAAAGATATGTCTGCACTCCCACTGTAGCAGTGGAATGGACTGCAGCAGCACATGTCTGAGATGTAACTGGGGACAACAACTACCGGGCCTCTAGATAAGACATGTTATTTACAGTATGTAAATGTTGTACCTCTTTTCTCCACCCACATAGGGCTTAAACAAAAGTACATGGGGTAGGAACCACCACAACTGATGCAGTGAGGGTCCAGATGACACAAGTAGGCATCATGGTCTTTGCTACCACAATGAGCACACATCAAAGAACCATGACAAGATGCCTTAGAATTTCCAAACTTGACAATAGAAACACCAGAGAGGTTTAGGAATATAAAACTGTACCTGTATTTCACGTTTGACAAATCATAGGATGATAAGAAAAGCACATGATGAAACTGTTCTCTGGATTTTACAATATGAATGTGGGTGGTGCTTATTATAGTAACTGCCTTTTTATGTAGAGGTTGTATTTAGTATTGGTAAAATAAAGATTGTAAGAAGGAGAAATATAAAATTCTTATGTGGTACTGGTACTAGTAGTATTACATACAAATCACACAAGTTTATCATTCAAAATACTGAATCATTATTATCATTATGAACTACATATAAAATTACGCTAAATTGTTGAACTTAAAACTACTAATTTAAATGCAAAAGAATATAAAAAAAATCACAAACTCTTTCAGTTCAAAGTGCTAAGCCAAATTAATGTAAAGACCTTGCACTCGCCACTCGATAGCTCTTAACACTTACAATCATGGATCAACTTCTTTCCAAAATATATCTATTTTGAGTTAATTTTTCAATATATTGATTAATATAAATAGATATACGATACAGCATGACTTAAGCTGCTATAAAAACTAAAAGTCACATACAACCCATGCAGTTTTTTCCAGAAACAAGTTTTCTAAGGCTTATAGAAAAGTACTATTGTTAGTAAGACCCACACTTCTGTTGTTGTTGCTTTGGAATTAAAACAGTCTAACTGATATATATATAAAGTTTATTCTGATATTTTGCAAATGGTTTAAAACTCAGTAGTGGCAACAATAAAACCCATATGTTGGTTATGAAACAGATTAAATACATTTGTCTCAATAATACAGGGAAGCTATGACATTCTCACAGTTGGGGTCTCAATATACTGAAGAGCTTGAGTTTCAAATTCCTACATAAATTTTGCTTATAATGAGAGGAATCTGACTAGGACTGGACTGAACGAGAGTGACCACAAACAGACATGATAGTTTACGGCAAATGTACAAAGTTCACGCTGCTAACCTCACAATTTAATCAGCACAATGAACAAAATTATGGCTGCAATGAAACATAAACTTGAAATAAAAATACATTTATGAAACAAAATTAAAATGTTTATGTATACATATAAATATGAAATCCTAGTTAAAAATAATAATATTCATTTGTTGTTTAGGTTTACTTAAAAATATTATTTTCGGGTCTTGTATATTACTTGAAACCATAAGGAGAATACATGATTATTAAAAAAAATCAAAGATAGATAAAATTTGCATTTTATGGACGATAAAAAATTTCTAGGGATTTTAAAATAATGTACTAAAACATAAAAAGTAATAAGTTCAAATCTGGAACAAATATAAATATCGTAATCATTTCTTATAAATACCATTTCCTAATGTAATTTTTAAAGATATTAAAGATCATAATGCAAAAAAAACAAACTTATCAAACGTAACAGCCTTTATATTTCTTAAACTACATGCATTTATGAAAGTTCTTATGAAGTTTCAAGCAATTTAATCTATTAGTTTTATTGTTGGAATGAAATACAGCAAGACTTGCATTGGTTACTCAGAAAATGAGTAGCTGGTGGTCATCAGGTTAATAAACATCACAGGTATAATGTCAACAAAAAAAATTTTAAATTTGAATACAGTATTTCTACAAGAGATTACTCTCTGGATTTACCTTAGTCAGTCAGATTCAGACTGCAGTGTTGTTCGAAAAATACTTCAAACAATTAAATAGAATATGCCAAAACTACAACAATTTATCTGTCCTACTAACAGACCTATAAAAAGGTTTAGAAAATTACATTACTATCTGAAGCACCAACTTCAGTCTTCGTTCAATAAAATCTACTTGGGAAATGGCATCTTTTACCAAAATAAATTAACATAAATACATCATAATCATGTAGTTCACAAAGTAGACTTTTTATTGGTTATAAAAACATGTTCCACTGACAAGTAAGTGTGAGTAAATAAATAATTTCAAAAAATATGAAGAGCTGGGAGGAGTTTCTGTGTCTGGTGTAGTAAATTTCTTGGTATTTCAAAAAATAAAAGCAGGAGGTTTTTAATTTAAATTCTGGCCTGTCATTATCTATAGTTAGTGTATCTAATTATTCTGAAACCCATACAAGGAAAAAAAGTATATCTAAAATAAAAATTCAGAGTAGAAAAGCATCACATGACACAAAAAAGAAGATTGAGAACTTAAATATTTCCTAAAAAGTTAAAACTTATATAATATTAAAAGTTGAATTACAAGCTAAATTTTGATGCAAGATTATTGGCATGTGTTAATAATAGTTGTTTTATTAAATATTAAATGTAACTGTTAAAATCATTAAATGAGCACTTTGACTTTTACCCATGAACAGAGTTAATCAATAAGAAAAGGTTAATGAAAAAAAAAGATAAAGAATTGTTTCAGATTTATAAAGAAAAATTATAAAGTTATTACATGCAATTAAATTCTCCAAGTATTAAGTGAAATCCATTTTAAAAAATTTCTATCATATTTCAACATCTCAAAATCAGCATGTTATTCAAAACTGCATCAACAAGAAATGTTTGCAAGTCTTTTACTAATATTCTCTCAATATTCTACCAGAAGATTTAAAAATGAGAATTTGTCAAACTTGGTAAGCCAAAGAAAACCACCCTCTCAATATCCAATCTATTAAGTGAGCACATCAAAAGTTACTTACGTTGGAATTTCTATGTGCCGCCAGCCTGTATGGCGTGGGTAGATATCAGGAATAGGGACACTAGCACCAACAATCCATTTATTTGAGCGGCCACAGTCAAAATAAGGTTTAGTCCATTTAACTGGACCTGGATTATCTGAAGCAGCTGTAAAATGTATTCAAAACATAATTTTAACTTTCACCCTCCACATCGTAACCCTAAGCAACATAAATATATTTGTATCAATTGTATGTTTGATTTTCCTTGAAATAAAATATTGTTTGATCATTACACTTTCTAGTATAAAGTAAAACATAAAAAGACCAACAACTGAGGATCTTAATATACACAAGTATTACCTGGTGGTCCATGCCAAACAAATGTTTCATTGGTTCCATTAAAATGAGTGATCTGCACAGTATAGGTTGTCTTAGAGTCATGCCGTCTTGTTTGATCAGGTAGCCAAGCAAAGTACCAGTCATTTATTTTATATTGCTCATGTGTATAGTTTGAACTCATTACATAATTTGGAATTGCTCCCAGGTCAATTGCATCTATTGTATTTAAGGTAGATGTTCCTTCTAGATGGTAGGGGTCATTGAAATCATCAGCTCTGAGGAATGATGAAAAATTAATTTCCATTAACGATTAAGTACTTTACTAGTTTATCCTGATTTAATATATACACAGACAATGAATAAAGTATACAAATATTTAACTACAGAACAAAAACAAAGACATTGCTAGAAATGTTAAAGAGGATTTAGCTTCAGTATTTTTCTATTATGTTAACTGTCTCAACAGGGGCTCGGTCAAATTGACCAACCTCATAACCACTTGTATTTGTTATAGTTTACACACTACTACCTTTTAATATATTAAGTGTATCTTTACAAAATTTGGTAGACTTATAGTAAACATTACAAGTCTTTTGCACACGGTAAATCATTTTTTACTTGTACTGGACTGTGAAAATTTCGATTCATTTTTTTTAACTAGTCTGAGTGCAAAGAGATTTTCATCTTAAGATTTAAAATACTTTTCTTTGTTTCAAAAATCTTAAATTTAATTTGCATAACCTCTAAAACCTCCTAAATACATATATTACTTTTTTTTTTCAGTATAACATTATATTTTATCTGTTATTACGTTTATTACTTGATTCTTCAGCCTGTAGACAACTCATCGAAGTATAATGAAAAAGAAAAAATTGTAAAATCAGAAAGTGTTTCCTTTTTCTTCATTATTGATCATGAAGTTTCAAAGTATTTCCCCTGAGAGTTTCAACTGCTAAACATATCACATATACTTTGTGTTTATTTTACTGTCAATGACTAAAGTAGAAACTCACTGAAAATAAGCAATAAATCACCACTCGTGTTATAAGACTGCTTCCATATAACCATAACACGAAACTCTCGAGAGCAACAATGCACGCGATAATCAGTGAAGTGCCATGCCCCCTGCTACAAGAACACAATATGGGATACAGTGGCTTATGTTTCCTACAACACTTACAACAGGAATTTCCTAGGGTAATAAAATTGCAATTAGAATGTGTAAAAACATTTATTATATGGTTCAGAATTGGGCTGATCCAATAAACATTGTAGGTTCTGAGCTGGGCTGATCCAATTACATCGCAGGTGTTTCAGTACTATTGGTCATCTATTTGATGTGTGTGGAATTTTGCAGCATAAGTGTATGAAGGTGTTAATTGGGCACATTCTTATAAAATCTACTACCCTCTCCCACTTTCACCACAATTATTCGTCAACCAATAGAAACTGAGGTTCCACTACCATCTACTACATCGTAGGAAGTACTTGGTGAAAGATATTCATCAGATGAGGATGTTGTGGAATCACCCAGGCCAGGTACATCAAGGCAACCTATACCACCACTACAGAGAAGAGGCAGAACAAAGAGTGGTAGGGGAAGGGGTAGAGCTACAGTATCTACTAGGACTGCTCCTTCCTAGCAGCAGGAGAGGCCTCTCAAACGCATTGACACTTGGACCTGGGTGCAGATTACCAATGAAGAACCTACCCATGTACTTTTGTTCAATAGAAGTGAACCTGTGTCCCAATGGGTAACTTCTACTAATACAGCTGTTGATTTGTTTAAACTTTTATTTACATTTGAAACTTTAAATTTTATTGTTACTGAAACAAATCGATGTGCACGATCTAATCAGCCACAACAGGAAGGTGAACCCCCAAAGAAAAAAACCATAAAATGTACAGATGTTACCCATGAAGACATTTTAGCTTATTTTGCTATTGGTCTACTTATCTTCCTTTCCATAATCCTTGGTTTACTAACATCTCTATGGACAGGTTTTTAGCTATCCATACTAACTTACACTTCAATGACAACACTAATGCTCTTCTTAGAACTAACCCTAATTATGACAAACATTTTAAGGTTAGACGTGTCATAGACCGTCTACTAAAATCTTTTGTTTTACACTACTCTCCTAACAAGGAACTAACTATAGACGAACAGATGTTGGACACAAAATGTTGATTTGATTTTCTCCAATATTTGCCAAAAAACCTGTCAAGTGGGTTATCAAGTTGTGGGTCCTGGCAGAAGCTGTGAGTGGATACTGTCTGAAGTTTAAAACCTACACAGGCAATCAAGGACAAATGCCAGCTAAAGGTTTAGCAGACAGTGTTGTGATGGAATTGATGGACAAGTACAACAGATTAGGGCACTGGGTTTTCATGGACAACTTTTACATTTCCTATTGTTTATTTGACAAACTACTGACTATGGAAACCTATGCTTGTGGGACATGCAATAAAAACAGACTGTATTTCCCACAGCAACTGATTTCTACAAACCCACAGAAAGGGGGAAGCATGATTTTTTAAAATGTGGAACTCTAATAGAGATTTACGTACTTTGAACTTTACACTCTAGTACTATGACAACTGTGACAAGAGGTAGGGATGCTGAGGTTACAAAACCTCAGTTGATTGTGGACTACAATAAGTTTATGGGAGAAGTGGATCTAAATGACCAACACTTAAGTTACTACTCTACTGTACGAAGGACAACAAAATAGTATAAAAAACTGTTTTTCGACTTTTGGTCTTGACAGTTGTAAATGTTTACATTTTGTACTAACAACAGACCAACCAGCCGACATTATCCCAGAAGGCCTTCCGAATGGACCTAGTCACAGCTCTTGTTGAGCCTCTATTTCAAAACAAACCAGATCCTTCAGGTATACCACTCTCTAGAACTGTACAGGACTCATCACCTCTGAGACTTACTCTTGGCAGGCACTTCCCTACACTTGCTGATGCAGTTATCAGAAAAAGATGCAGACTATGCCTTCCTGAAAATAAAGTTCTAATAAAATGTAAAAGGTGTGAGGAATTTCTGTGTATGAAACACTTCAAAGAGTATCACACTAGTGTTACTCTTAAAAGGAGTTAATACTATGATACAAGGTAAAAGTCTGCTCTTTTCCTTTGTAAACATTTTTGTTTTTCTAAAAAAAAACAAATCTTAGTAGCATTTTCTGATTGTTTTTTGACTTAAATATTTTTGTAAAGTTTTTATTTTAGTATTCATACACTTATAAGTACAATAGTGATGTTCCCTTTCATGTGTCAAAATCAGTGTATAATGTTATACTGTATATACTATCATAAAGTATGGCTTTTGCAGTTTTGTTAAATGTGTGTAATAAAATACATATCCATAAATTTCCATTCATTCACACAGCATTTTCTTTGCACAACTTCATGTGTTTGTTTTTGATTCATGCACTTTGTATGTACATTATTCCTCTTAGGCATATATAAACACTTTTATTCTGTTCACAACTTCATGTATGTGTTTTTGATTCAAGCAGTTTGTAAATCCATTATTCCTTTTAGTCATGTATAAACATTTGTGCATAATATTATTTCCCAATATTTGTAAATTATTTTACCTTTCTAAATGTTATGAATAAACTTGTTTTAAAGTTGTCAAGTTTCTAATGTTGTATAATTTGGTTTTAACTTACCTCAGTTTAGACAATTAGAATAAAACAAATTCAGTAGGCATAACTATGTATTGGTCTACAAGTACAAAATACAAATGTAATTATAATACGAGTATACTGAACATTAAAGTGATATTTCGACTACCGTACATTACATATGTATATAAATATACATATTACTATTTACTCATAAATGCTTAAATTGTATTATATTTTTTAAAACATAGAAAGTAAATGAGAAATACACTGAAAAACAAAGATTTCGAGCGTGTAACTGTGTTATGAAATGTTGCTCTCGTGCATCGAACGTGCTAAGCCTCGCAGTAAGCCTCGTTTATTCTTCTGGGTGGAGGGTGTAGAGATACTAATTTTTGTAGGCTTCAAATACTAATTTTTGAAGACCACAAAGTTGTAAAATTACTGTATTAGTACATTCAAAATCCCTGTAATTTAGTTGGGTCTCTAAATAAACTTTATGCGGGTTAAAAAAATCCCATTTCTATTCAGAGCAATGACATATTCATCACACTTCAACAGTTTTGACAAAATTATTATTTTTTCTTTCAAGCTATTTATAAACAACTGTCAGAGTTATGTAGAGGTGAAAATGTTTTTCTATTGGTTATAAACAGGGGATAATTAGTAGTAGGCGAGACTAGACAAGAGCTTTCAAAAAACTGATGCAATGGGAGGAGCCACTAGTAGATTCGCTAAAAATATTGCTATCTCAGCAAATCATAGAGGAGGAAGGTTCTTATTCTATATTTAGCTTGTCTATATCACAAATTTGAGTTTCTAATTCCTTAGATATTTGTACATGTTGTATGGTGGGCATAATAAAATTGAAACTAAACAATTAGACAACTGGAAGTGTTATGTGACATAAAAAAATCTATATTTAAAATTTTTTTATTTAAATTTCCTTTTAAATTAAGAAATTAAAACATATATAATATTAAAATTTGAATTATAAACTACATTTTGATGCCAATTTCATTGATGTAAGTAGTAAAAATGTTATTTAATAAAATTTTGAAAATAATGCTCCAAAACTTCATGACACGTGCATTTTATCCTACTGAGGGTGAAAGGGTTAATGGAGGGCTTTTGTTGCATGACGAAATAATTATGCACCAGCACAACTCCCATGAAATTAGGTGGGAGTTGCCTCAAGGCTAGTGGCATGGAAATATCCCTGGCAGATGCACAGAGAGGATAGCTAACCTGCATACAGAGGTGAGTTATAGCCTTAGAATCTCCCTTACTGTATCTAAAAGTAGATTAACTATCAAAATAATCAATAATATAATGTTGAAATCTCCCTTACTATATTAAAATAACCAATAATTACATGTTGAAATCACCATTACTGTATCTAGAGGTAAAGTAGCTACATCAAAATAACCATTAATATAACATTAAAATATTCCTTACTGTATCTAAATTTAGGTTAGCCACATCAAAATAATCAACAAATAAACATTGAAATCTCCCTTACTGTATCTAATTGTAGGATAACTTCAGTGGATTCATCATCAATACTTTGATTTGTTACAGCTTCCCCATAGAACAGTTGAATCCATCTGTTTAAATCACCAAGTTATGAA